AACAAAACAGGTAAGTTAAAATATTACCAAAATGTTTAACAATATTTTAAGTTATCAATCAAAGTGAAATTAAATTTCAGCTCATGAATGATTTTCAAGAATTTTACAATCCAGTGCCAAGAATGACACTCCATAAACAAGCAAACTTCATTTTAAAAATTGTAAGAACTGAACATGCATTCTCATCTTAAATTCTGCTCTTTGTTTCAACAATAAACGTGAAAAACAAAAGGCTTTTGACAATAGTTGTGGCAATAGTCAAGGATTTATAATTTTAAGCAGAGCTACAGAATGTCACACAACTGCCTGATTGTCAAAGAAAAGCCCTAAATGGTGAAAACTTAACTGATGACTTGTTACAAGATGATGATGTCTCACATTTACCTCTGTAAGGCGTACAAGACTCTTAGATCACTGAGGGTCTGTATCAGACTTAAATTGTCTTGAATGTCTTTCTGTAACCATGGCAACTCACCAGCTACTCTCTTTATTACTGGACTTGAAAAGTCGTCAGTTCTTTTGTTTTTCTGTAATGCAGATTGGAAGGAAGATACATTTATGCAACTGATGCCTTCTTTTAAATTCCCTTCCTCGAACAAGAAATGTCTATAGAAGTCGGATGTATCAGCTGAAATGTGCACAATCACAGCTATGTTGTAAACAGGGCACAACACATTTATGTCTTTGGATAAACACATAAGAAAAAGAAGCAATTTGCTGTTAAATTTCCTACTTTGGATATCTTTGCTAGTTTTACATACATTATTGAAATAGTTGTTAATTTAATGTAAATCAAAGGAAGACTGCGTTTTAACTCTAAAATAAATAAAAATATCCAGGTTGTTTCAGCCCTTCTAGGCTTGGCACTTTATGGAATTACAATAACAATTTTTTTAAAGACTTTGCTTACATTCTGCATCTGTCACTGCTAAATTTATCAGTTTATTAGGTTCAGAGGATTTTTTTGAAGGATCTGACCTGTTCTAGATTTCAGTGTTATAGAAAAACATGAGAATCACAGTTGATGATGATGGCCAGGGTGACTAGCAAGACCCTCTCATGTCAAGAGACCTTCTCCAATCAGAGCACGGGATTTCGGGACCATTGTTGCCATTGCATTGCTTAACTCTTTGTCTTTCTACAAACATTTTTTCCTTTATACTTATTCCTTTTCTGATTTTACCTCTCCAAGCAAAAAGGTGGGAGAATTTTGCTTCCACAAATCTGTCTCAATACCTGTATGATTCATGTCCCATTTGCCCACATCTTTCTATCATAGTAAAGGCTGACCTCGACATCTTCTACCCATCTGTGATTTACCATATAGAATGTTCTTAGGAGCTCTACTATCCTCTATCATCCGAGTGTGTTCTAGCCATCTGTGATTTACCATAGAGGATGTTCTTAGGAGCTCTACCATTATCTATCATCCGAGTGTGTTCTAGCCATCTGTGATTTACCATAGAGAATGTTCTTAGGAGCTCTACTATCCTCTATCATCCGAGTGTGTTCTAGCCATCTGTGATTTACCATAGAGGATGTTCTTAGGAGCTCTACCATCCTCTATCATCCGAGTGTGTTCTAGCCATCTGTGATTTACCATAGAGGATGTTCTTAGGAGCTCTACCATCCTCTATCATCCGAGTGTGTTCTAGCCATCTGTGATTTACCATAGAGAATGTTCTTAGGAGCTCTACCATCCTCTATCATCCGAGTGTGTTCTAGCCATCTGTGATTTACCATAGAGGATGTTCTTAGGAGCTCTACCATCCTCTATCATCTGAGTGTGTTCTAGCCATCTGTGATTTACCATAGAGGATGTTCTTAGGAGCTCTACCATCCTCTATCATCCGAGTGTGTTCTAGCCATCTGAGCTTTCGAAGACAGGGCATTGAGAAAATTGTTGTGATACCTGCTCTTTCCAATACCTCAGTGTTTATGATTTTGTCTTGCCAGTTAATGCCACGCACTCTTCTATATTAAACTTTATCCAAGTTAAAACATACATGAAGCTACTTTTCTAGAAAAGAGGAAAGAAACTGGGCACCAACAACAACAGTAAGTCGTTCTGTTTATACAAAATGTTCATACCAACCTTTCTTATCTTGTCAAAATATTCTACCAACTGATGTATCATGGCCGTTCTGAAACAGCAAGAACATGGACAAAGTGTATACTGGTTGTTTGGTTAGGAATTATATGGATTGCTGGCTCACTATCCAGCCCCAACATGTGGAAATTGTTTACCAACCAACATAAAGTCATTAGTTAGTGATCAGTACATAAGGTCATTGCTTGGAGACAAACATGATGAATTTGTTGAACAAATTGTACCACTGTTTACTAACAAGCATGTCAACAGTTTATTGACCAACCTAAAGTTAATCTTTTTAACTGTCCAGGGTATTCGCATCATTCATCTACAAAACCACATCTCCTCAGCTTCCAAATAAGTTTTCATTAATTTTCCAACTGTTCTTGACCCACTTGCATTGGTCGTGTGCCCCAATATAACTGTTTCATAAGATTGAACAGGGTTTCTGGAATGTGCTCCTGTTTGATTCTCATCCGTACAATGGCTCTTTTGGGGACTGCTAACCTTGAGGCTGCAATCCTGGAGAATATTACAAATTGTTGGAACAAACCTACAGTTCTTTCTCTGATAGTTAATCAATATGATTTACCTGTTTACTTTTACTTGGTCATTTGAGAATAGATATGTTTAAAACAATTTTATTAATTAACCAACAGTATCAATGTTGGTGCCTGTGGCTCAGACATTGCAATCCTGCTTCATATTGCAGAGGTACCAGATTCTATCCCAGCTGCAAGCAATTTGGCAGCAGACCGCAAACAACTTTTTTTTTTTGGCGGGGGGGCGGGGGGGGGGGCGGGGGGGGGGGGGGGGGGGGGATTTGTTTTAATTAATTATTTTACAATTATAATCTACAGATAAAGAACATACACTCGAACAGGTAGGTAAATGTTACCCCATCATCACACAGAGCGATAAACACCTGGTGACTTAAAGTGCCACCATGCGGATGAGGATCATCCATGGAGAGGTCCTGAAAACCGCGTTCAACTGTTAGGTTATATTGGGGCCACCGGCAACAGCCAAAATGGGAGCTTCAGAATAATGAGAAATTGCATCCCACAAGGGAACGACTTATATGATATTGATACACTCAAGTTTTCTTCATAACATCTACCTGACACCAACTTACACAAGAGAGAAGGTGAAATGACATTCTATATACCCACAAACCTGTGAGTGGTGGAATGACATTCTATATACCCACATACCTGTGACTGGTGAAATGACATTCTATATACCCACATACCTGTGACTGGTGGAATCACATTCTATATACTCACATACCTGTGACTGGTGGAATGACATTCTATATACCCACATACCTGTGACTAGTGGAATGACATTCTATATACTCACATACCTGTGACTGGTGGAATGACATTCTAAATACTCACATACCTGTAACTGGTGGAATGACATTCTATATACTCACATACCTGTAACTGGTGGAATGACATTTTATATACCGACATACCTGTAACTGGTGGAATGACATTCTATATACTCACATACCTGTAACTGGTGGAATGACATTCTATATACTCACATACCTGTGACTGGTGGAATGACATTCTATATACCCACATACCTGTGACTGGTGGAATGACATTCTATATACTCACATACCTGTGACTGGTGGAATGACATTCTATATACCCACATACCTGTGACTGGTGAAATGACATTCTATATACCCACATACCTGTAACTGGTGAAATGACATTCTATATACCCACATACCTGTAACTGATGAAATGACATTCTATATACCCACATACCTGTGACTGGTGAAATTACATTCTATATACCCACATACCTGTGACTGGTGAAATGACATTCTATATACCCACATACCTGTGACTGGTGGAATGTAAGTATCTTTCATTAACAGCTTGTTCAAACTCAGAGAAAGCAAACCTGTAGAGTAAACAGGACATGTCAGAGAGGTTCATGCCTCACGGTCTATATCTAATCATTTGCTGAGAAAGGTGGTTACAAACTATTCTTTAGTTATTCCCCCTTTCTTTATTATTAAACACTGTCATTTTCATTTGAAAATGTAGTTACATATTTTCTTTTCAAAAGAAATAAATTTGAACTCAGAACCATTCTTATCTTATTCTTATTTACTTGTTATATAGTAGAACTAAATAATTTTTGCTATTCTAATGCATTAGTCTATCAAATTTAGAAAGCACAAAGTTTACCGTAAAATATAATAGGAAAATATTACCATAACTCTCCATCTCCCCCTTCCCCGCCTCTATTTGCATATAGATGTATGTTCTCTTGAACAGCATACAGCAGTTAGGTTTAAAGTATTTCATCTTATATTTAAATAATATTTGGTAGTATTTATAGCACTATATCAGTGTATTTTCCGGAACTCTTGGTGGCTCATTGTTAGCTCTTTCAATAATATTACATTCTTTTCTGTTTACACAACAGAAGAAAATGATATGCAGATCTTGGCTTTTGAAAGAAAAAACTTTATTTTTAATTTTTATTAATTTTTATTTTTTTATTTTAAAACATTTTGTTTGTTTGTTGATTCATTATCAATTCCCCCCCCCCTCCCCCCGCAACCATTTAAAATATACAAAGCAAAATAAAAATTTAAAAAATATATCTTTCAAATACCAACTGATACTCACTGGCTCTCATTACGTTCCATAACAATTTTTTTTAGTGCCAGTGATAGACCGACTGACCTAGAAACCCAGGTAAATTATAAAAAATGTCTGGACTCCACAGTGATTCAAACTCATGTGTTTATCAGGCAGACAGGTCAACGCATGAATACGCCTACCTATCCTGAACTGAAGAAAGTATTTGCAGTTCTTGATAATTATTCTTGTTAATGTTTGCATACCAAAATTCAGAAACATTTAAGCCAATTAAATTAGAAAGAAATGTGGATGGACACATACCTGAGCAAACCTGCATCATTGATTAAGAAGAATTCCACAGCAAAGTAAAATGGAGACCAGACATGAGACTCAATGTGAAACATGTCTAGCAACTCTGTTTCTGACAGACCCTGATGAGACACGGCAATGGCACTGAGAACCTGTGGTTACAGAAGGTACACAAATATAAAAATAAGGACACAGGAAGTACTAAGTGAGCGTAATAATTGTTATGTATTTTACGCATATAAACATTTTGGAAGTTAACTCTTTGAGTCGTTGAAGTTTAGCATCAGATGCCCAAGGGATAGTCAAGAGAGACACAAGATTGGCGCATCCTGCATTCACTGGGCGTCTAGGTAGGAACCTATGAACGTATGATGCATTCTTTCAGACTGAAAGAGTTAAGCAATTAATTGTTATCTGTAATAGTTAGCATTCAAATGAGAGTTGAAAGTGATTAGAGAACTCAGCAAACAGAAGATACAAATACAAAATTTTCTCCAAATACCTTTTTTTTAGCAAATATGAGATTTAAAGCGCGTTTAAAAGTGAGAGGATTGACATCTTTGCGCTAGGCTTTTAAGCCTGATAGTTCAGTCTCTTCCTCTGTAGAATGGCTGATTGCTTGCAGAGATTGTCACATAAAGCATAAACCCCATAGCTCCAGCAATGACTTCCAGAGATCTCCGTAATAAATGCACTCATGAACTGAAGGATGGGGTCGGAAACTGAATCCACAATCTTCACAATGTAAAGCAAAAGGGAAGAGCTTAAAAAATAGCAGCTTTTATCACAGCATATTACCATCACCAGCTACTGAGTACATAGTGTGACACTGTGAGCTGTGGATTTCATTGACAAGAAGGATTTTCAGCTGTGTCCAACATGGTTTGTATTGTGAACTGAAGATTAAGAAAATGGCAAGTGACCTGTAGCTAGAGAACATGGTTCCTAAAGCCAATAACTGTGTGTGTAACTGCTGATCTGGTATAACTACTGCTTCCATTGAGGATGAACTGCTCTTCTAGTGTCCAACTGTTTGTGATGACACTTCTGATAACTGTCATGTACATTTACTTCACGTGTATGCTGTTAGATTTGCTAAGACTGCAGTATGTGTAAGTTGCTTTTTACATATGGGACAGTAATGGACATTGTGTGGGGTTTTCTTTGTCACAGGAACAGGGAAGCTATATTTGACCCGTTTGCTAGGAAGTTAAAACTGTGATTACCTGATTAGCTCTCATCATACAACATTACTATTTAAGACCCCTAAAATATAAAGTAAAAAAAAAATATGAATTGTGTCTACAAGACATTCACATCGGCCCAAAGCCACATACTACCTGCTGCACTAAGAGTTCTGCATGATCCTGCACATTGTAATCCTCTTCGAGTCTTTGCAGGACTTTGCTTAGGAGGTCCTTAACACTGTTAAAAAAAAGCAAAAGTACATGTGTACATTTTTTTTATATCCTATCTTCACATGCATCTTCCCTGTAGCAACATACGGATGTGAGTCATGGACTATCTCTTAGTCCTTAAGAAAAAGAATAGGGGCTTTTGAGCTGAAATGCTATCGAAAGATTCTCAGAATATCTTGGACAAAGAAGAGGAGAAATACTGACATCTTGAAAGGTCTGAATATCAAGGAAGATTGGCTAATAAACAGCATCCTGTCCGGAAGCTGAAATTTTTTGGTTATATCAAGCGTCACGACGGATTGGAAACAATTATAGCAGAAGGCATGGTACCAGGAAGAAGGGACAGGGGCCAACCGACACGAAGATGGGCACGGAAAAAAGTGACACCTTGAGTATGAAAGTACATGAGGTGGGAGAGCTGGCGAGAGACTGAGTTTCTGTCAGGCAGACCGTGATGAGAGCGACGTTCTGCAAAGGACCTGCTACATGATGATGATGACTATTTTCACATTATTAGATACATTTTTTTTTTAATTCAAGATATTTTCTCAATACCATCAGCATATTAACAATTCAAAAGCTATTTTATTGTCAAACTTGATAAATTAAATGATATAAATAAATAAAATTTGCTGTAATTTTTTTTTATTTAGCCTTTAATTATCAGTAGATGTTTGTTTTGTTTGTTTATTCAACGGATCAATATCATGGCACATGGGTGTAACCTATAAGTGCTCCGCTCTACTTTTAACTCAAGCCTGAGTCTGAAGAATCTCAGCGCAGTGCACAAACTCCGTTAAACCGGCGAGGATCCTAAAACACTTTGAGTAGATTTTAAACTCAAAATTTTGCCCAGGCTGCGCTGTTAGGCAACTCTTTTTCAATTTCCAACTGCCAAGATTATTTTTACGTGTGCAACAATACACACGGGCGTCCAATCTTACTACTCAGAGATCAGGAGAAATTACTAGAAAAAATCCCAACCTTCACTAGGGTCTGAACCCAGGACCTCCAACACTCAAGGCAGATGCCAGACCTCAAGACCACTCAGTCTTCAGCCTCCAAATTATCAGTAGACACATACAGAACGCGATACACATTTTAAAAAAATACAGTAACTATAATCATACAATAAGATTTGAAATAAGATATGACAACTCAATATAAAAAAAGTTAAAGAAAAGTACATCAACATGAACATTCACATATAATCATATTTGTGCGGATATAAAATAAAAATTACACAAAATACATAGCACAGAATAAATCCTTATAAACAGCTTTCATCTATGATGATTAATTTAGAGTAAATTACCCATTAGAATAAATCAAGGAATCTATTTTCTTGTCCAGAAATCTGAAGTAACCATAGATGGAGATTTCCTTTAAAAAAAAAAAAAAAAAAAAATATGTAACATTCAACAATTGATACAAAATACCTGACATAATGTAATGTATTATAAAAAAAATATATGAATGAATCAATATCTGACATTATAGCATTTGGAATATTCTCACCCATATTGTGTACCCTTGCTCATAGTCAATGAAGAGTTCTCTACTGATGGTGCTAGTTGTAACCTGATTAAAAGTCAGCCTGTCTTTTTCCCTATGCACTGAAAACCAAACAAACTGCCAAATTCCTTTGGAATCGGTCTCTTCAGGGACAGATACTCTGTCTATTCTTTTGCACTGTCTACTTGATTCCAGAGAGCCTTTCCCACATCTCTGAGAGCCTTCCCCACATCTCAGAGAGCCTTCCCCACATCTCTCAGAGCCTTCCCCACATCTCTCAGAGCCTTCCCCACATCTCAGAGAGCCTTACCCACATCCCAGAGAGCCTTACCCACATCCCAGAGAACCTTCCCCACATCTCAGAGAGCCTTCCCCACATCTCTGAGAGCCTTCCCCACATCTCTGAGAGCCTTCCCCACATCTTTGAGAGCCTTCCCACATCTCTGAGAGCCTTCCTCACATCTCTGAGAGCCTTCCCCACATCTCTGAGAGCCTTCCCCACATCTCAGAGAGCCTTCCCCACATCCCAGAGAGCCTTCCTCACATCCCAGAGAGCCTTCCCCACATCCACTTTATCATAAAGTAGTTCACTGCCCGAAAGGAGCAGCAGCAGCAGCAGCAAATCTGTCATTACCCTGTACCCCAAAACGTCCTGGGCAGAAAGACCTTGATAAGTTGTTGATATGAGTCTTATCAAGTGATACAAGCAACTCTACACGTAGGACACCAGTTTATATTTTCTGAAGCCTCAACTCCGTGAGTCTGTACAGTTACAACATGTCAGGCGGTATTACTCTGCAGCCACCAGAAAGCTGTATGAAAATCTGTAAAACATACATTTTATACAATAAAAATGTTTTAATATTGATATTTTCTTTGAACAGTTGAATCTTTGGTACAATGGTGTGATGCCTAGCAGGGCTTTTGGACGCTTCAAAATTAAGCATGAATGTTTGGCTTCCTCTTACTTTATGGATAACAAAAGTTTGTCAATTCAGCCTTGACCTTTTCAAAGGTTTTTTGCTTTCATAAAAACAAAAACTGCTCAGACTTGTAAGGGGGATGCAGTAAAAATATTGTGAAGTGTTATAATAAAACACAAGCATCAATTCTTTAGAAAACCATCTTGTCAACAAGGGCCATTAAAAAGTTCATAAAGGGGCCCAAGTTTAAGAGACTATACTCAATTATTTGTGAAAATTATATTTTGTATCCATTTTTACAGGACTATTCAAGTGTAATAACTTAATTATTCTTAAAGCTAACCAAATCTGCACCAGTATGATTTTCTGTTTATGTTGAGTTGAGTTGAGTCAAGAACTTTCATCACAGCACTTGGGGCATTCCCATGCACACTCCATCCTCATCTTCAGCAGCAAGCACAGAGTTCCAATACTAATGGTACCGACTGAAATCTGGTTATATGTGCGTCTTGCCTTTTCTCTGGGTGTAGTGAGCCGGCCAGACCCTCTGGTTACACCGAGGTGCCTCATTCTCTCTAGGCCATAATAATCTTGTTTCTCTTCTGACTTCATTACTTGTTCCCAAAGGGCCTTGACCACATCTGCCTTGTCATGTATCAGTTGATGATCCAGTGGTGCAGATCCAGCCAATCTGTCTGCCTGTTCATCCCACACCCCGCCGGCATGGCCTGGAGAAAAGATCCAAAGTATGGTCACTACCCGTGAAGCTTGAAACATTGTTCGAAGCATCCCTGTCTTCACCGTTCTTAACATGCTCTCAGAATCTGTTCCTTTTTTAGATGCTTTACAAAACTGTCCAGCCACTGGAATTTCTGTTCCACTGTTTTGTACAGGCATGGGTCAGTCCCAATACTGTAAAAAACATATGTACTGAATCAGTTAAAATAGCTGTAGACAAACTGAAATATAAGATTTTTTGACTAAAATAACTATTGTAGAAGATTTATTACTAAAATAACTAATGTAGAAGATTCCTTTCTGAAATAACTATTGTAGAAGATTTCTTACTAAAATAACTATTGTAGAAGATTTCTTTCTAAAATAACTATTGTAGAAGATTTCTTATTAAAATAACTATTGTAGAAGATTTCTTTCTAAAATAACTATTGTAGAAGATTTCTTATTAAAATAACTATTGTAGAAGATTCCTTTCTAAAATAACTATTGTAGAAGATTTCTTACTAAAAATAACTATTGTAGAAGATTTCTTACTAAAAATAACTATTGTAGAAGATTTCTTACTAAAAATAACTATTGTAGAAGATTTCTTACTAAAAATAACTATTGTAGAAGATTTCTTACTAAAAATAACTATTGTGGAAGATTCCTTTCTAAAATAACTATTGTAGAAGATTTCTTACTAAAAATAACTATTGTAGAAGATTTCTTACTAAAAATAACTATTGTAGAAGATTCCTTTCTAAAATAACTATTGTAGAAGATTCCTTTCTAAAATAACTATTGTAGAAGATTTCTTACTAAAAATAACTATTGTAGAAGATTTCTTACTAAAAATAACTATTGTAGAAGATTTCTTACTAAAAATAACTATTGTAGAAGATTTCTCACTAAAATAATGGAAAAAGCAGATTTCTTACTAAAATAATTGAAAAAGCAGATTTCTTACTAAAATAATTGAAGTCAAAGGTTTCTTACTAAAATAATAGTGTGTCAAGTCACTTACAGAAAGGACAATCTTCAGAAACAGAGGATTTTGAGTTTGTTCTGCCTTCACCACTCTCTGCAGCTGTTGAGGAGAAAGCTCTTTCCCATTCACAAGAAGGGTTTTCTGTAAACAAACACATACAAATGAGTACACTAACGATAGAATTAACATAAGAAAGTTAGAGCTTCATACTGTTTTTCACAAAACAATGCAAATTTACACCAGTGTAAATAATTTTCCTTCTTTTCTTAAACTTATCTTCCCAAACCAATCCCTCCCTTCCCCCCCCCCACCCCATCCCGCCCACCCCAACCTTTAGCTCCTCATTCTCATATGTTTCCTTCTCATCATCATCCTCTGTCTCTTCTTACCCATTTTCTTCCTCATTCTTTGTTTCTGCCCTCAGTCTTCTCCTTCAACTCTCATCTACTTGGTCTTTCTCCTCTTATACTTTTCATTTATATTATTCTCCTCTTTATCATTCCATTGTAATTATTACTCCTCATCTTCTCTTTATTCTCTCAATGTCATTCTTCTCTTTCAATTCACATCTTTTTGACATTCTTCTACTATACTTTGTCATTCAATTTAAATTCTTCTCCTCTCTCCTCTTCTTTATCTGCTTCCTTCTTTCCTCTTGTCTTGAACTTTCTTTTAACCAGTAACTTTCCTCATCCTTTCCCCTCTTCTTCTACTTTGCTCTCTTTCTCTTCTTCATTTTCTTGTTTTTCATACTCCATCTTCTTCTCTATTTTTATGCTCTTTTAGAAATTAGCCTGAATATAACAAAAGCACATTTCTTATTGCACATAAGTAACCACAGAAAAATGACTAATATAGTTGAGTTTTTTTGTTATTTTAATCAACCTTATCTCTGGCAATTCAGGTTACCTTACAAATCTCTGTTTTTATATCACCAGGAAGTGACTGGACTTCAAGATCATAAAATTTTCGTTGATTCACAAGAAGGTCAAAGGTCTCAGTGTTGGAGGTCACACAAGACACAATAAGTGAAATGCCACAAGGAAACTTCTCAGGCAGCCAGTACAGATGCTGAAAAAACCCAATAAAATCAGTTGTTACAATAAAACCTGCTTCAGCATTTGGAAAAAGGAATAAATAATCAACCTTATTTGCCTGCGCACAAAATCACCAAAGAAAACTGCAAAAAGCACCTCATAATCAGTGTCTGTGCAGAATGCTGTGTTCTAAAACATATTTGTGTTTTGCTTCCGGAGTTAACTCTTTTAGACCTGAGCACGCTGTGCATGTTGATTGAGAAGATAGAATCCACTCAAACCACAGTCTGCCTAGATCATGTGTCCCACACATATTGATTCACATGCTGTTCCGTATTAGTTTTTGGTGTCAGAACCTACCATTAAAATATTCAGGAGCGGTTACTTTGTTTACAAGTCTTTGTTCACACATTTAGGTGCACATGTATCCAACTCACTGCCAGTGTCATTTTCAGACAGTTAATTTTCTGATTTCCTTTTTCACTGACCATGGATACCAATGATCTGAAAACAAGTACAGGCTGTAAAATGTGCCTATCTCTGGACGAAGCTCTTCAATTGTCAGATGTTTTTAATTATGATAATGAAAACTTACATTTTTCAGAAAGTTATTTGGACAGTAAATTTACACCAATGCAGCTGAGCGGTGAGCTGTTAGAGAATTTAACAGTTCTGATGAGGTAAACCCAAGAGGACCCATTTCATTTGTGAAGGATGGTGATAAACTAACCCAAAAACTTATCCTAACTTTTGAATTTATTAGGAAGTAAAATAAACTTTAAAGTGTTATTCTCAAATTTGGATATTTACTGCTCTTGAGGCTGAAAAACCACAGTAAGCGAAATTTCTTTTTCATTTGTTATTTTTGTCTTTGTAAACATAGCACCTGCTGAATTCTTTTTTTCCCTACTAACCAAAACAGCATTAAACAAATACATATAATCCAATTCAAAATGTACATTCATTCTTTTATTTTAAAATATAATTTTATAAGTATCAGAAATATATTACATTCTTTACTGCATATTTTTAGACTGCCCCTCTGCAATTTTTTAAAGGGAAATTATTGCGAGCCAAGTCTGTTAAAATGCACCAGCCTGAAAGAGTTAACAAATCAGGCCAATGAGCAATCATGTTGCACTGGCAGCACATGGTCTCTACAATTACTGCCCAGGTTATGTGATGTGGAGAGGAAGGACTTCATCCCTAGCCTTGAGTGGTATCACCATGGGCTTTGGTTTCCAAGCAGAATGGAACACTATCACAAATTAGGCTATTTATTTTGGTGCATGGAAAACAAACCTCAGTCATAAATCACGCAGCCAAAAATAGCAAATACAGCTAGAGAAATTAAGCCATTACATTTGGCACAAAGAAAAACAAGACATTTGCTCAGCATGTCGATCATGGTCAAATTTGTTTCTTAAATGAATACCAAAAAAACACCACCATCTCAAAGGACAGAAAGGCGCCAAAAAACAACACATCGGTGATCAACTTAAGACACCAGATGCAAAAATTTGGAGCTATTATTTATGACTAATTCTTCTTATTCTTTTGCCTTTCATCTCCCAATGAAGCATAGGGCCTCAACCAACTCATGTAATTTTCCTTGAAAACAAAGCATATTCATTCCCACCCTATGCTACCAGTGCCAGACATGGTTACTCCCAACAAAACATTAAAAAAAAGAATTGTCACCATGGAACTGAAGTGTCTGAGAAAGACTGTAGGAGTGACCAGAAGAGATACAATCAGGAATTAGGTCATACGAGATAAAGTCGGCACAGAACCAATTCTGGATTACACAGAAAGACAGCAAATCAAATGGTTTGCCCACCTGGAAAGAATGCCTTCTGATGCTATACCATTCAAGGCATATACCAAAAAAAGAGAGGGACGTAGAGCAAGAGGTAGACCAAGAACAAGATGGAAGGATAACGTCAGAGAAACTCTACAGTATCAAGATGTGTCTTAGGTCGACGAAGCCAGAAAAGCCCGAAGCAGGATCTTATATCTTCCTTGACACCCGAAGCGGTAAAAGAGGACGTAAAAAAGAAACTTGTTTGTCAATTTGCTACCAGTTTATTTGTGTGGTGATGTGCCATGATATCTAGTGCATACTCCAAAGGTGAAGAGAACTCATCCCTGATAAAATTACTGTTAATATGAAAAAAATAACTTACAATAAAATTGTAGATACAAACAACACCTACCTTTGCTGTTTTACTAGAAGCTGTAACCCTGTTGAGGCCGTCAATGATTATTACCACTTGCTTTCCATCAGATGACGCATGCTGCATCTCATTCTGAACATTGACATAAATGTCATGAAACTCATTGTTATAAACTTTATCAATGACAGATTGCTTGTGTTCAGCTCCCAAATCTCTGTTCACTTCAGTTCCATTGATAAACTGCAGCTCAGCTAAGATCCGTTGCATTATACTTTTTGGATCTAGATGGAAACAAATATCAAAGGGAAACATTACACAGCTATAGAAGTCCTGCTGAATTAATTATTATTTAAAAGTAACATCATTAAGGACATTATTCTACATTGTTTCCCAAAGCCTGTGGCCCAGGATATCTGATTGTGAGTCATTAGTTTGATTTAACTACCCTAGACTTTGTCTGTTTATAGACTTCCTATAAGGAAACAGGTTGTTGTGTGGTACCTAACAACTTCCCTGTACAATTAAAAAAGCCCATGCTAGCAGCTCTGCAACCAAATTATACCGTTTTTGGGTCACTGGAATTTACCCTTTATGTAAGGGGCTTTTCATTTTTAACTTCAGATACACTAGGTGTGAATAGGTTCTAGAAGCAAAATTTCTTCTTTGCGAAATGCTTGTTCTCTGGTTAAGTTCAGTATGTACTTAGGCTTTGGCACATTTACTCTTTCCATCTCAAACAGTGCATCATAGGTGTCACATAACAGCATCAACTCCCCTACAACGATAGACTTACCCACAGTCTGGAGACCCCTATACTAATAATTGGTGTATCTATATCTCGGATAGTCTGTCCGTAGATATATAGTTCGTTTGTTATTGGGGAATCCAGATGTGAGATACCTATATAAATCGCTCTTGGATTGATCCTTCTTGGCGTATAGTGTCACTATGTATGATACAACACATTTTCTGCGCGTGTTCAAGCTTAATAGTTTGACCGCTTCACTGTGTGCTTCAGCCGCATCATTACTCCACGGTGGTAGTTAGGGACTAGAATTGTGTACGTCACTACTGTTCAGTCCGTTCAAGTGAACAGTTGTGAACTGGCACTGCAGCCACTTGATTGTTAACCGTTTTATATAAAAATATTCATCTGCATCAGTGAGTTTTCCTTAAAGGGGAATATATATATTTGCGCTCTTGAATCTCGAGCTTTCTTGCTTCTCTCTTAGTGCAGGGATGAAAATGGATCTGTTGGTGGCACCTGAAGGAGACCTGTCTGTTAATTTTAGTTTTGCAACTTCAAGTTGAACTTTCGTTCTGTTTCAGTGGAATATGTTGTCTCCTAATGTTTTAACATTCTATTACACTATGATCTTTATTCTGAAGTCTTCTTGTTCTTGAACAAAGTTGACTTGATTTAGTTACTTGTGGTCGTTGAGATGATAATAATGTCTTGTCTAATCAATGTATCGGAAGAAACTATTCGCATTTCAGTTGAATTTATTCAGTTTTGTGCTTTATTTTAGGTTGATGTAACTCTGTAGTAATGCACCTGATGAGATACAGCGAAATTCCGGCAGCTATGAAACAGACGCAATGTATCAGAAGAAACTATTTGCATTTCAGTTGAATTTAATCAACTGTTGTTTATATATTCGACTGTGTTAACGTCGTTTACCAGTTTGAGGGCAAAATTAGTAATGAGGATGTCTGGCCGAGTGGTACCCAAGAGTTTATATTAACCCTGAGGAGTCAGAGCTCGAGTCACCTCATTCCTGAAATAGGCTGAATGGATGTTTGAACTGAGGACTTGGCCTCTAGACAAACAAGAGCCACCATTCAGAACACCCCTATCTCAGAGTACCTATAATAACTTCTCTGGAGGTTGAACATGGTATCTGAGATTTGTCCTGTTGGCTTGTTATCCATATTGAGATTTTGTTATGTCAGGGTTGTCAAAGCATCAGGCAGCAGCCTGTGTATGCTCTTGAATGAATGAATGAGATTCAGCCCCACCAGGACATCCACCAAGCCATAAACACCCGGTGACACAAAGTGCCACCATGCAGATGAGAATCACCCAGGAAGAGGTTCTAAAAACCCTTTTCAACCGTTAGGTTATATTAGAGCCCCTGACCACAGCATGGGTGGGGTTTTAAAATAACGAAAAATTGCATCCCAAATTGAGATGACTCTTGCTTGCTTATTGTACCCTACCAGGACATCACACAAGTGATAAACACCCGGTGACACAAAGTGCCACCATGCGGATGAGGATCACCCGTGCAGAGGTCCCAGAAACCACTTTCAGCCGTTATGGCCACAATTGTGGCCCAGCTATATTCAGGGCCCCCGGCAAAAACCAGGGTGCGGCTTCAAATAACGACAAATTGCATCCCACAATCGGACGGCTAAGTGATGACTCTTCATTATTGTGAGAATGTCAGTGTGGTCCTGTGAACTACATCTACTTTCTCTGAAATCAGGAAGAACTGTTACCTGTGGTTCCTTGAGCACATCCAACAAAGTGATAGATGAAGTTTACTTGGTTTTCAGAATCCTGTAACTGTTTGACTAGGTTAGCCAAGAGTGCAGACTTCCCACATCCTGCAGGGCCATGAACCAATACGTTTGGATGTTCTGCAAACAAAAGACATTTTATCTCCCCTTATTTTCAACACACTAATTAAGACTAACAAATTTTAATCAATGTAAAGTTTATGACACTATTACCCCGTGTTGGTTCCGGGGCCCCATTGTGGGGAAAACAAGAATAGACCCACTGCCTCCCCAAAAGCATGTCGTAAGAGTTGACTAATTGGAGAGCTTCCTTTGAAGTCAGAGTGCATCTGCCGGAGAGGCAAGGAGCCAACAGTCTTTATTCAAGAGAATGAGATCTGTAAAACTGATGCACATGCAACACTCAGGTTCTGGAGCAGGACTGCAGTTCAGTAGTGGACGAGCAACCAAAACTTTCCGCCAGAGTATACAGCTGGTGAACGTGAAGAAGAAGAAGAAGAATGACACTACTAAGAGAGCTTACAGAACAGTTTCACTGAACCAGGTAGAGCAAATATCACCCTGCACTGATGTTTGCACCACCAACAGACAGTGCATCACAGAGGGCCTTGTCACTCAGACATACTGGAAGTGGAATCAGAGGTGGACCATGCAAGCAATGGATAGATGGAATAGTCGAGGCTGTATATATGAGCACATACATAGCACATACTAAGGCTCTCACCCAATGCCTCTTCAAAACCTGATGCTGAAAGGCAATACAAGACTAGAAAAGAAGAAGTGATGTTTATACAACGCACAAAGTTTGCAGTTTAATCCTCCATTCCATCCTATCCTTTCAATATCATGGATGGAATTCAGTCCATCACCTCTGACCTCTCTCATTAAAATTCACTGCACGGTACTGGATATTTTCAGTTCCTCATTCCAATAATAATGCTCTCCAAATCGTCAAGTTCAATGTCCCATCTTTTAATTGAGGCATGTCTAGTCTTGTTATCTCTCATCTTGTATTGTTTTGATCCTGCCTTTTCTTGTAGTGTCTAGCTTTAACTTGCTAGTCTTGCCATGTCTAAACTTGTCTTATTATATCATTCCTTATAATTTCTAGTCTTTTCAATCCCTGGGCAGACTAACAGCAATGACTTGTTATTTTTAGGTCACTGTCTGCCATTTAGCATTGTGGTAGTTTTTTTTTCCGCCCGTATTGCATCAAAATATACCTGATATTATCAATCAATCCGCATCTTGTTCCTTTGCATACTTCAACACTCGGCCATCTTATGATCAGTTATTTGACATTTTCATACCAGAGGAGAATTAAATTAGTTACAAACTAAAATTGTATGTGTTCCTTGGAACCAAAAGACTTTAACAAACAGAAAACAAAAAATTACCTTTCATCTTCACGGGGCTTAACTTCTGCAAGTAGCTGTCACCTCCCAGATACAGCGTTGTCCGTGAAGCCAAATAGGCATCATGGCATAAGCGGTTTTGCTGCAGGAGACTTGTTTCTTCAGAATCACTTGTGGCAAGCAGTTCCTGGCAATACTTCCACACACTTTCAAACATAAATTTGGCTCCCTGAAACAGCAAGCCTGAATATTTCCATTGTTGCTCAAAAAAACATAAAATCCTGAAAATCCATCCTACACTCTAAAGAGATTACACACTATGAGCAAGTTGATTGTGGAATTAAGAATCGACTCACAGCACTTGGGACACTTCCATGTGCTCAATCCCCATCTTCAGCAGCAAGCGAAGAGTTCCAGTTCCAATGATACCAGTAATCATCTGATTGTACATATGTCTCATCCTTCCCTTGAGGATTGAGCATCGGCCAGATCCCCAGGTAACTACGTGCAGGGCCATTCTCCTCAGACCATAATGATCTATCTGTGTCTCCGCACTGTTCCCTCGCTCCCAAAGGGCCCTCACAATATCTAACTTGTTATACATCAATTCACCACCAAGTGATGCAGAGCTATGAGCAAGTTAAGACAGTTTATCTCTTTGAACATTTTTCAGTAGGCAACTATTTTCCTCATTGTCTCTAAGAATTGTATCACTTCTGTCCAGATACTTCTACATCTTACAATGACATTTCAAAAGCCTTGGAGTTTTTTTTCTGTCTCAGAGCCACATAGTGCCATCAGTCCCTCCCCCTCCCCTCACTCACTCTCACATGCACACACTCACACACATAGTAATTATTTGTTTCCATAGTTCAATACTGATGATGTCTGATATGTGAAATGCCTATATTAAAAGTTAACACTTTCAACAAAATTCATATCTATATATATATAAAAAATCAATGTTTGTGTGTTTGTTAATGAGCTATACTCGGAAACTACTGAACCAATTTAGCTGAAATTTTCAGGATATGTTTGTTTTAATACCAGAATTCTACCCGTCATGGTTTGAAATTCTACCTGTCATTGTTAGAGATAGTGTATGACATTTGTTGGGAAAATCTTCAAAACTAACATTTCCATTTTAGTGACATTTAACTATAGCCACATTAGTAAATGCGCATGCGCGATCGACTTTCACCGTGCATGCACAGTAGTGACGCTCCATCGTCAATATCCATTATTACAAGGAAAACAATTGCCTGTGGTTTTTAGTTGTTATCTAGAAATATCTAAAAAGGTAAGCGCATTTATTTCAGTAACATTAGTCAGTATGTACATGTTTTTTGTTAAGTTCAAATCCTGCAATGATAAATGTATAAACATTATCATTAATCATTATCTGTTGGCTTTCTCATATTGTCTAGTGTAATGACCCTGCTTTGCATGGTCCTCACGATTACATAGTGGCAAGCAGAAAGTCCGTGCAACAAGGGACAGCACGAGATACTTGTGCCTAGTCGAGGAAGCGAGGGAAAGCCCGAGCTAGCCTCGTGGTCAGTCGATCATGAGAAGTCAGAGAAGACGGTTGTAGTATTTGAAGATGTGGTCTTTATGTTGCGCAAATGTTTAATGTTCGAATAGGTCGCGAGTGATAAAGTGTGAATAATGTTTGAACATGTGAAATAAATGGACCAGAATAAACTGACAGAATGTACCAAGAAGCTGAGCGGCGTTTGTGTTGTCAACTCTAGACGTTAAAGTAGTGCAAGTTGTGTAGCAGTAACATCCAGAGAGTGAGCAGTGGCTAAAGCCAATAAGTAGTAAGCCAAAGCGCAGTCCAAGTCAAGCCAAGGTTTATTACAAATGGAGGCTCGTCCGAATAAAATTTGAGAACCACACGGACCACAATCATTAGGAAAACATCTTTGTTTTTTCCAAGGTAAGACAAAACATGCGGAAAACAGTGTACGATACATCGCTTTAACCCGAGCAGAGCCTTTAAACACAGCAAGCTGCGACAGGTCAGCTGCCAACCAATGAAAAACAGTGTACCATGGAACACACGCCAACATAGTTGTGTGTCATCAACGTCCTGCCTGCCACCACACATCGTATTACCAAGGTTTGTGGATTCAAGAAGTTTCATGTACACCAGTGCTACACATCAGAAATATGTTAAATCTAGTTTATGAATTAAATCAGGTTTGTGACCATTATTGTTTCGCGGAAACTAGCGGACTATGAACTAATTTTATTTACAGTTACGATCAGTTTTCTTACTACCGTGACATTTTGTGCATTGATTGTGCGTTTATCAGAATGGCATCTAAAAGGTTGGTAAAAAGTAAGAACACTTTGTCGCAAGTATCTTCAGCGACAACAATGAAAGATACATCGATAAGTAACCAGAAGATCAAGATGTGCATTTTTTGTAAGTACCAGCACAGTTCAACTATCTGCGATAGAGATCCTAAATATTCAAGCTATATTGAAGACTTGGTCAATAAAAAGTGGCAAAATAAACAAAACAACCCTAAAAAATGCCATTTTTGCTTAGCATTTGGACATATTATAAAACACTGTGTTGGGAAACAGATGTTAAAAGACAAGAAAAGATCCTGGTATGCGAAAACTAAGCAAGAAAGAATGGATTCAGAAGCTCTTACGTCACCTACTCTAGATTGTGCAGTATGCGACTGGAGGAAAAAACAGGGAAAGACGACAGAGCCTCATACAATTTGGATAGGAACATACCAAATAATATGTCCAGGAACTAAAAAGAAAAAGAACGAAATCATCATTGCAGAATTAGAATCCAGCAAAAGCAATACGAGCAACAAAAGTGAATCCAAAAAGACAACAGCCACTGAAACAGAGAAAAAGTCAAACTCAGAAACAATGAAAATTAATCAAGCAAAAAATATCACTGTTCCAACAATGACATTAGTCGAGACAAAAGAAACTCAATGTATGAAACAGCCAGATTGTGAAATACCACTGGATAGACAAGCCATGAATAAAGAATTTTCATTCTTAAAGGACAATATAGACATACCTTATGATCAATTACACATAGTAACAAGTAAAAAATATCGTGAAAAGTCAACTAAATGTTTGATAAACAACAAACCAGCACAAATGCAATTAAATAAAAAATCAAATATCACTTTGGTTCGTGAAAAATTTATACAAAAATCAGATTTAAGCGAAGACATGATTTACTGTTTAGACAGAGAAGATTTTTTGATGCGATTACGGACAGCTTATATTTATTTGAAGTCGCCCTATATATCAAAACCATTGAAAGTACTGGTAACGAACGATATCGGAACAGATCTGATTCTGGGATACAAAGACTTCAACATTAGAGACTGTTCTGATGAAGATATAAGAGTCTGGGAACAAAGTCATCTCCATCAACAAAAATAACAGCTGATTCAAGGAAAATTACCATCTTTATTTATGAACTGAAGTATCACTATTTACTAACTTGAAACCATACAGCCCATCATCCTGAACATCAACATCAAACATATCACCATGCATGAAGCTCAATATTATTATCAGTCAAGAAGCTACATAGAACCACTGGCAACCATACGACCAAGAGTAAACCTAAACGATCATCAAGAATTGACAGTTTAGCAGTCTTCATATTCAAGATTATTATCAGTCAAGAAGCTACATAGTACCACCTTCAACCAATCAAGAGTAAACCTGAACAATCATCAAGAATTGATATTTTACCATTCTTCACCTTCAAGATTATCAAATTTCAATCAAAATCAGAAATCACCAACCAGTACTGTACAGTGAATGAACAGAACCATATCAGCCACTGAATTATTCAAATTTGAAAATCACTATCAAGGAACAGAAATTATTTTCTCCAGATACCTCAAAATCGACCATTGAAACATTTCAAAATCATCAAATTCTACGCGACACTTCAAGAGCATCTATACAATATCAAGATCGCCGAATACCAAACGTATCATAAAATAATGAATGCGAGAATAATGAAGCATTCCTACAGTTTAAGCACAATCAACAGCCACAAAAATGTCAGTATTACATCGTGCGTACACAAATATTAATTGTGAAAGTTAATCAAGTTAATTATCTAGTGTTTGTGTGAATATCAAATAAATGAAGTATTTTTAAAAAAAAGTGCATAAACACCTGATTTCATTTATAAAAAGCAGCCATATACTGTGTGTATTAAACACCTTCCGTTTAATCCCATTACTAATTATTTTAAAGGTGGCATATCAGTGTATGCAGTCACTGAACACTGTTAATAGTATTGTGTTAACTTATAAAATTATAATATTTTTAGTCAGTAGATTTCCAAGATTACCAGCTATCCTACCATGAAAGACCCAAGAGCAGAACAGACTGTCGAGGGAACCAAGGAATGAGAACCTGGAAAGCAAGCGTCAGAGTACAAGCAAGACATACACAGCCTGCAGGGATGGGTCAAGATCAAGGATAGTTAATGGAATGAATGGGAATGAAAGAGAATAAAACAGGTATGAATGATGAATGAAAGATTTGTGGGTAGTATTTTAATAGTGTACATAAGTTTTCTTAGGTTAGTAGTTCATTAGGATTATTTTAGTATTCATGTAATGACAGTCAGTAGTTCAAAAGTTTAAAAAAAAAAAAAAAAAAAAAAAAAAAAAAATCTCTCCCCAGGAACAGCACAGAAGAATTAGATCAAGATTTAGCGATAGATCATATAGAAATCTTTTTCCACAGAATGACTTTGATAAAAATATTTAATTTCAAATGTTTTGGCATAGGTACACAGCACAGGGACATGCTAAAGTTGTCCACGACACCCAAGATTAGGAACAAGCTATAGTTATACTGATGCTGAATAGACATACTGATGGTAAAGAAAAAGTGCACACATCCAAGCACAAGCACAGTAGAGGAGTTGAACTCATCTGTATCCATGTAAAGGGGGAAAAGGTTGTGGGATTCCTTGGAGTTGAATACTCTGTTAAAGGTGATGTAGAGACTGGTGGGGAAACCCTAAACTCTATTAAAAAATCATCCCAATATTCATTTCATCTGAGATTCCTTGGAGTTGAATACTCTGTTAAAAGTGGTTATAGACTTGGAGGAAACTCTGAGATCTATGGAAAATATATCTCAGCTATCATTGTTTTCATGTTGGATTCCTTGGGGTTGGGTAATTACCCTGTAAAAGGTGAGACTTTGGTCTATGAAAATATATCTCAACATGCATTTTTTTTTTCTGTGGTGGATT